GCCTCTCATTTCTTGATTATTTTATTTTATTTTATTTTATTTATTTATTTATTTATTTTATTTTTTAGATATTTTTTATGTCTTGTCTGATGCATGTTCTGGTGTCTAATTTCTTTATTTTATTTTATTTTATTTTATTTTATTTTATTTTATTTTATTTTATTTTATTTTATTTTATTTTATTTTATTTTATTTTATTTTATTTTATTTTATTTTATTTTATTTTATTTTATTTTATTTTATTTTATTTTATTTTATTTTATTTTATTTTATTTTATTTTATTTTATTTTATTTTATTTTATTTTATTTTATTTTATTTTATTTTATTTTATTTTATTTTATTTTATTTTATTTTATTTTATTTTATTTTATTTTATTTTATTTTATTTTATTTTATTTTATTTTATTTTATTTTATTTTATTTTATTTTATTTTATTTTATTTTATTTTATTTTATTTTATTTTATTTTATTTTATTTTATTTTATTTTATTTTATTTTATTTTATTTTATTTTATTTTATTTTATTTTATTTTATTTTATTTTATTTTATTTTATTTTATTTTATTTTATTTTATTTTATTTTTATCCTGTCTGCTGCGTGTTCTGGTGTGTCTCTCATTTCTGGATTATTTTATTTTATTTTATTTTATTTGTCCTTTCTGTTGCGTGTTCTGGTGTGTCTCTCGTCTCCTGACGTCTCAGTGAAGAATGTAAACATCACAAAGAAACTGAGATTTTAATTGTTTCTAACTTTGAGTGTTTAACGCTGTGTGTTTATTGGCGTCTATTCTGGGAAGCGTTTGATGGCCAACTGTAGATCGAAGTATTCTGAATTCGTGAACTTCTCCTCAGGCAACAGTGTAATAATGATGTTTACTGCAGCGGCTGCTCGCTGTGCTTTAGAAACCTGATGTGTTTAATAATGTTGAGTTATTAAATGTGTTAAATGCGGTTTCATACTGACTCCAGGACAAGCGGCAGGTACTGAATGTTCTGAAATAAACTTTCCATTTATCTTCCTCCTAACAGGAGAGTTCATGAAGCGTGAATCAGATCTAGAATGTTTCCTTCCTCAAACACTCGCTCTAAGAAACGTGTCAAGAACATATTCATTATAAAAAGTATAAAAGTATATAGGATATTTTTCAATTCAAGAAATAAAATATTAAAATTTTGAATTTAATATTTGTTAAATGTGTGTATGGAGGGCCAAATTACTCAAAGTTAAATCATTAAATAAATGGTGAAATATATAAAGAAATGGTTAAATACATAAATCAATAATATTCATTCATTCATGACATGCTGACAACCGTAACCCTGAAATTAAATAAATAAATAAATAATAGATGAATGAATGAATAAATAAATTATATATATATATATATATATATATATATATATATACTTTAAATGTATTAAAT